GTGAGAGCTTGAGGAGTGAGAGTGTAGCTGTTTTACGTTAATTATGTATTTTTTAGCTCATTTGTTAAGGAGGCAGGTTTTTTTTTTTTTTTTGTACTACAAGAGACCAAAATGTTAAAGTTAAGGGAAGGAAGAATTTCAAGAAATTTGTGCTACACTGGTCCATTGCCCACTGTGATAACAGATATTTGAGGCTGGGTAACAACAGCTAACTGGGGCTCCCCCACATCAATTCCTCTCGAGGGAGGGCGTTCACTGACCCAATTACCCTGCATGAGGCTCCACCTGTTCCAGGTTTCACTGCCTTTCACATCACCACACCAAGAATCAGGCGTCTCACCCAGGAACACGTGGGTCTAACCAACATCTGGCTCACAGCATCATTAAACATCAAATTGAGACGACAGAAAACACGACTGGATCAGGAAAGTGAGTGGCCTTTTAACACATGAGTAAAAGGTTCGATTACAAATTTCTGGTAAACTGCTCGGTTCTCAAAAACATGATGTCATCATACTAAATACTGCTGACTAAATATTACACTGAGCATCTATCAACTCAATGGAACTCCTAATGACACAAAATTTTTACCCACATGTAACGATGGGAATAATCAAGCCCTGGGAGCTGGGAGGGCCCCTGAGGACCACACAGTCTTCCACTGTCATATTTACATAAGGAAATAAGTTTCTAACAGGCTGAACTCCAAGTTAGCCACACACAAAGACCAAGGTCCCTAGGTCCCACTCTGCACTGCTCCCCAGGCGATGATTTTTCATCTCATGACCATGTACACTTGGGTAGGTTTTCTTTGAAGTAACAACCATAGCTTTGCATATTTTCCTTTTCGCTACTAAATCGTGAGAACAATGCCCTACCATCAACACATTTAGGAAGTCTCTAAGACGGCTTGACACACATGGTTTAAACCTTCAGGCAGTGACTATCCTGTGCCTCGATTTCAGCTTCACTATCTTCTCTGCAACATCCAGTCTTTCTTAAAATTAACATACGAGGGCCCAGTGGCGTGGCCTAGCGGCTAAAGTCCTCGCCTTGAATGCACCGGGATCCCATATGGGTACCGGTTCTAATCCCACCTGCTCCACTTCCCACCCAGCTCCCTGCTTGTGGTCTGGGAAAGTAGTCGAGGACGGCCCAAAGCTTTGGGCCCCTGCACCCGCGTGGGAGATCCGGAAGAAGTTCCTAGATCCTGGCTTCGGATCGACATAGCATCGGCCGTTGCGCTCACTTGGGGAGTGAATCATCAGATGGAAGATCTTCCTCTCTGTCTCTCCTCCTCTCTGTATATCTGACTTTCCAATAAATAAATAAATAAATCTTTTTAAAAAATCACGGATTGTTAGCAGTCTACTACGGAAAATATTTTTATAAGAACTTTGTAATGTTTGCCATTAACTATGAGGCTCCAGCCACAAAACTATATGAACGTATAAATTAATGAACTTGTAACAAACCTTGTAACACAAAGTCACATTTCAAATTTTAAACTCTAAGGGCTTGGTATCATGGCTTATCAGGTAAAAACCACCACTGGACACGGCTGCTGATATGTGTCCTGGCTGCTCCACTTCGGATCCAGCTCCCTGCCAGCTGTGCCTGGGAAAGCAGTGAAACCCAGCTCAAGTGCTTGGATCCCTGCCGCCCACATGGGAGACCTGGATGAAGCTTTCGGTTTTGGCCTGGCCCAGCCCTAACCATTGGGATCATTTGAGAACTGAACCAGCGGATGAGCCAACATAACACTCTCTCCCTTCCTCTGTAACTCAAGAAAATCAACCTCAAATTTTTTTTTCACCATCTGACAGTCTGAAAAAATAAGCAAGCCTTCCCCCACCCTTGCCTTAAGCAAATATTGACCAGCACAAAGGGTTCAAAGATCCCATTTGCGCTAACATGGTGGATCTTCCCCAAGGTAAAAAACCTAGCATTCAATTTATCACACAGACAGGTACACATTGAAAACAATGACAATATCAAGGGAAGAATCTGCTTACAGAGTAACCTTACGTGCAAATTACTAAATTGCAGGTGAATTCAGAAACAAACTGCCTGAAGATTAGAATCTCAGCACTGTGCAGCCAGTGGGGCATTCAACTGGTGCTACAGGTGCAAGGCGGGGCTTGCTGCAGAGAGGAAATTCTGCACATTTAGGTCATTGTGCCAGCTGATTAGCAAGCAGTGAAGGTGCCAAATGTCAAGTTTCCTTTTTAAAACAAACACTAAAAAACAACAACTCTCACAGAATAAGATGTGGACATAAGCGAAGACAACACACACATACATAGTGATTACATGAAGTTAGGACTGCAGTAACTCCTTACGTTGACCTTGGAACGATTCGTTCCGAAAGGGTAAGCTGGCTGGTTTAAGGGATGTGAAGGCTCCGGACAAGCCACTGACTACATTCAGGTCCTGTCTGCACGGAGATTGCAACTCCCAGTTATTAGTTGAGTTCTGTCTGTCTGCCTGCCCCTCCTCTCTCCTCCCCTCCACTCCCCTCCCTTCCTCTTCCCTCCTCTCCTCTGTGGGTTTAGCTGTCTTCACAGCAGATCCCACCCAGCCCCGGAGACTTGAAAACAAATTTCAAGAACAGAAAGAACCTGAGGGAAAAATCCACTTCAACTCCCCAGCGTTTGACAGGAGCCATCCCTAACTGTTTAGGGTCTAGTAATTGTTAGTGTGTGCGTGTGACAATTTGTGGGTGTGTGAGTGGGTGTTTTTTTTTTTTTTTTTTAAGATTTATTTTATTTCTACTGGAAAGTCAGATTTACAGAGAGAAGGAGAGACAGAGAGAAAGATCTTCCATCCACTGGTTCATTCCCCAAGTGGCTGCAATAGCTAGATCTGAGCCGATCCGAAGCCAGGAGCTTCTTCCAGGTCTCCCATGTGGGTGCAGAGTCCCAAGGCTTTGGGCCATCCTCCACTGCTTTCCCAGGCCACAAGCAGGGATGCAAACTGGCACCCACATGGGATCCTGACAGATGCAAGGCAAGGACTTTAGCCACGAGGCTGCTGTGCTGGGCCCAGTATGTGCGTGTTCATTTTACAGCAGGCTTCCTTCCTCTTTGGGATCTGTGAATCTGATAAGACTCATAGGCCGCAGAACTATCAATATATATCATTTTAAGTAACATTACTGGGTCCAAAGGACTCTTCCTAAAATCGTGTCCCCTGTCTTCTGATGACGGATTCTCCGTTACAGCTGTCTGCTTAGTGGAGTTGTGCAGTGTGTTCAGTTCTTGTAAAGCCATCATCCTGGGCCTCCCTCTCTACTCCCTGATTCTCTTGCCAAGCACTTCCTGGGTGCGCCCAACGGGCTCAGCAGCCCCTGGTTCCCTTCCGTAGCCCCCCACCACCAGGTGTGGTGAGGACTGGGGAGGAGAGATGGCGGGGGGGAAAGCAGGCCCATCCGGCACAGTAGGACGACAGCTGTTAGCAACTTCATGTTCCTTGGAACTTTCTGGGTAACTCCTGTCACGTCTTGTGATTGTGAAAAGGTTCAGATGTGACTAGCCAGAAACAAAAGAACAGCCGTCAAAGTGAAAGGCGATCATGAAAACAACATGTTTTAAGCCCTGCGTTAGTGCACTGTAACGCTCTTTTAAGTTCCCCATTACGAAACCAGTGAGTTTCATAAACACTGATTCGTTTCTATTCTTTCTCCCACTTCCCCAGAGGAACAATGGAGAACAAATACCTTCAAATTAAATCTGTCCTCTCCTCCAGGTCCCAATCAGAAGCCTACCACCGGAATGCCTGCCTGGGTTCCATTCCAATGACACACAACTACAGCGCACTCGGCTAAATAAGGCTGGTGGGAAATTTTACTGAACTTTGCCACTTCTGATCAGAGGGGACAAAAACAGAGGCGATCAGGAACAGATTGAATGGGCAGGAGCCCAACACAGCTGACATCTTATCAACCGGGAGAAGGCCTCAGATCAAGGAGGGGTTTCTGTTCCCCAGAGCTACACCCTGTGTAGAAGCATGAGAATTTTACTGCAGGGAATAGCAGCTGGTATCTAAAAAAGTCACCTGCCAGCTAACACAGGGAAGCTCGGAAGCAAGCATCTGTGGGGAGAACACAGCCCGTGAAGGGAGGTGAGGACCTGAAGGTGGGGTGGCCAGAGTGAAGTTCCTACAGGCACGCTGGGGACAGACCACCTGAGCCTCTTGGGAGCCACATACCGCGTCCTCTGAGTCACTTTCCAATCATCCACAGACCTGATTTTTCTGGGTGGTTGAAAAGCAGTGCCAATAAAAATAGGTCAGCTGAGTTCTAAGAATTCGGGTTCTGGTCAATTAAGATGGAAGAATCTAAGTTCTTTCCAAGGAAACTAACGAGTTATTTTGACCTGGGATATGAAAACAAAACCTCAGCACATTTAGATCATTCTGATTTTTTTTTTTTTCCCAATTGGCTGGAACCATCATTCACAGGGGATCAATTCGAGTGCAAGCCGAGTGATAAATCACACCTCAAAAAGACACTGCCAGCAACAGGTGGATGGTGTTCTGCCTAGAATTAATTTTAACTCACAGCAGTGGAAAGAGAAGCATTCCTCGTCCTGATTTTTGCCATCTGCACCTGCACACAAAAAGCGGTCCTTCTGACTCTGTCTCTCTGCTGAGTCAGAAATTAACTCAGTGGATATAAAACACGGGGGAGCCCAGTCACTGGGCGCACACATGCACTCCTCCACGCCACGCGTAGTCCAGGAAGCTGAACTGCCTCTGTGGGGGTTCGCACGAGGAAAACCACAAGGGTCAGAGACAGAGATAAACAGAAAGCCCTCCGCAGCCCAAATAAAGACACTCGGGGCTGCGAGGCGGAGAACCTCGGGCAGAGAGGATGCGGGGAACCGGCGGGCTCCGCGGCGCCTTCCCGAGCACCCCCACCCCTCCGAGGCAGGCGAGGGCCGCGGACCCAAGGGAAGCCAAGCCGGCCGCCCCCGCTCCCCGGCCGCTCCCCGACTCACCAGCTGCGAGCCTTTGAGGACGCGCCGGAGCAAGGGCAGCCGGCCCAGGGAGCAGTAGGCGGCCAGGCCGCTCCGGGCGCCCCTGGCGGGGCCCGGGTTCTCCTCGGTGGTGGGGCTGTACACCGCTCCGTTCTCCATCGCCCCGGTCCGGGCCCCACAGCAGCCTCGGCAGCCTCGGCCGGCGCGTCTCCTGGTCCTCTCAGCAACTGGGGCTGTCACTTCCTGCGCCTGCTCCCCGCCCGGCCAGGCCCCGCCCCGTCCTGGCCACGCCCCGCCCCATCCTGGCCCCGCCCCGCCTGCATCGGAGCCCCGCCCCACCTCCAGCGGAGCAATCTTCTGTTGCTTTCCTTGCTGCATTTAACGAGGAGCTGGATCACAAGTGGAACAGCCTGGACTAGAATCAGCGCCGTTATGGGATACCAGCATTACAGGTGGCAACTTAACCCCATACACTGCAACATCACCACCCACTAAATGAATTAAACACACACACACAGAGGCAAAGAGCGATGGAGGGAGTTACAGGATGCGTCCAGGTTCTAGCTCACTTCCAGAATGCCTGCCATGCTGGGCCTGGGCTGGGCTGGAGGCAGGACTGGGGAACTCCATCCAGGTCTCCCACCCGGATGACAGGGACCCAAATCCTTGAGCCACTGCTTGCTGCCTCCCAGGGCGTGCATTAGCAGGAAGCTGGGACTCGGATCCAGGCACCCTGATAAAGAACGCAAGAGTTTTAGCTAGCATCTTGACCACTAGACCAGATGCTTGCCGCTTCAGTGCAGTTCTGACTTTGCAAGGTCTCCAATTCACAATGATACCATCTTGAACAAAGGAACATCTGTGATGGGATGGGATGGACAGTTGGTCACTTCATGGAGTGGTCAGAAAAAGCTTCTCTGGGAGCCAGTACAATGACTCAACACGCTATTCCTCTACCCACGAACACTGGCGCCCATTGTGTCCCGGCTCCTTCACTTCCCATCCAGCTCTCTGCTTAGGGACTAGGGAAGCAGCAGAGGATGATCCAAGTCCTTGGGACTCTGCCCCCATGTGGGAGACCTAGAGTCTCCTGGCTCCTGGCGTCAGATCAGCTTAACTCTGGCCATTGCAGCTGTTTGGAGGAATAAACCAGTGGATGAAAGATCTTTCTCTCTGTGTCTCTGCCTCTCTCTGTAAATCTGCCTTTCCAATAAAAAGTAAATCAATCTTAAAAAAAAAAAAGATTCAAGGATGGAGATGTAGACAGAGGCCAGGTAACACAGGGGGTTGCAGCTCAATGAACTCAATGCATGATGTGTCCTCAGGAAAGATGTTCCCAATCCCAGTACCCATGAGTATTGAGCTGTCTGTCACCACCCCCAGCTCTTAAGCAAACCAGTGGAAGTTGCAGTTCCTTTAGGGTGGGCCCACATATCCCCCACAGAATTTGCCCCCCCAGATCTGGTTCTCTCACGTGCTGGTTAGTATCATGGACATTACCTGACCCATTTAGACTCTCAGTGGTGGGTACTGTGATCTAGCCTTACCAGGTAGGCCCCCAGCACTAGCTATTATGTGCATCAATGAGTGATCGGCAGTGATTCATGCTAACAATCTCCGCTCAGGCCTCCCGCATGGGCTGGTGCACCAGTCTGATCCATAAAGGTCCTCCAGCTTCTCCCCTCCAAACTGCTCAGTCTCAGCCCCTTCACTTACCTGCAAGTACAGTGGCCTTGTCAAGGGAAGTCCCTCACAAGTCGTTTCTAACCTGCAACACACTCCCTTGGCACTGCTCCCACCCACACATCTGCTCGCCCCCTTCCCTGATCAACCCACAGTCCCTGACCCTTGGAGCACTGGGTCCTCCAGCCAGCCTTCTGGAGCCCAGTCTTTCAGTGGGGTGGTGTGCTGGCCTGGAGCTCTGCCCATCCACTAGGATCCCAAGCTCCTGGCACATGTGCTGGCTTGGGACCTTACCCCTCTGCCCACCCAAGATTCAAGCCCATTCAAAGTTCCCCAAGCCCAGTTGGCCAGCATGCTAACCTGGGGCTTTTGGTTCTCCCCTCCTCCCACCCCGCCCAGGACCAAGCACCTGGGGAAATTCCCAGGGTTGCTCCACCTGCCTGAATATGAGCCACCAGGTCCCCACATTACCCTGCCAGTGCCATTCCCCAGATTCTCTGCAAGCCTGCCACCATCACAAAGTGCAAAGTCATTTGGCTGGATGCTGCTGCAAAGCGCCAAAGTCTAAATTTCACAAGTTAGTGAGACAGCTCAAAGAGTAATGTAGCCCACTAATAATGAGAAGAACGTAGAAAAGGCTTAGAGAAGGATGGGAGGAGTTGATACTGTGGTGTAGATTAAGTCTCTGCCTGTGGTGCCAGCATCCCATATGGGTGTCAGTTTGAGTCCTGGTTGTTCCACCTCTGATACAGCTCTCTGCTACTATGTCTGGTTAAGCAGTGAAAGAAGGGCCTGGTCCTCCCATATGGGGGACCTAGAAGTTGATCTAGGCTTTAGATTGACCCAGTTCTGGCCATTGCAACCAACCGAGTAGTGAACCAGCATATGGAAGCTCTCTTCCTCTGTTCCTCCTCTCTGTAAATCTGCCTTTCAAATAAAAATAAAATCTTTAAACAGAGAGAGAAGGATGAGAAGTCATGAATGTGTGTGTGTTCTTTCAGTCAAAGAAAAAAACTACCACTGGAATAAGATTGCTAGGTTAGATCCAAAATTGTTTAAGTCTTATGGTCAACTTTACCTAAAATACATCATTTGGAACCCTACTAAATACAAACCATTGACACTTGATATCTTAATTAGAGAGCCCAGGTCCAACTTGACCATAACTAGTAACTCAGAAAGGGATCATTCCTGTAGGTAGCCCTTAGCAGGGACTCTGTTAAACACTGCTGTAGCTGAAGGGTTGCCAAACTTCTTTTGTTAAAGGACCAGTGCCTAAGTACAGGAGACCACTAGGACCTCTGTCACAGTTGCTCAATTCAACTGCATTGCAAAATGAAAGCAGTGGGGCCTGGCACAGTAGCCTAGTGACTAAAGTCCTTGCCTTGTGTGTGCCAGGATCCCATATGGGCACAGGTTCTAATCCTGGCAGTACCGCTTCCCATCAGCTCCCTGGTTGTGGCCTGGGAAAACAACAGAGGACTAGAGGTATGCGTGGCTTGACAGAGAGTGGCACCTGCTGGCACCAGTGTGGACTGGAAACTGAGGCTCGCTGGGGTGATCTAGGCCTCACAGCCCATTGACATGTACGAGAGCAGAATAAGATGTGGGGCAGACTGGACCAGTCTGCTGTACATGCTGGCAAACACAGAAACCAGGGTAGGGACAGACCTGGTGGGGGTTATTGTGGGTGGCTTCAACTAGGCTACAACTCCCACTGGTTTGGTGAGGGCCAAATGTGCAGTGGGCAGGATCGGGCTGGACTGTAATACCCATTAGTTTGAGTAGAAGATAGGGCTGGAGACAGAAATGACCCAGCAATTCCAACTACCAATGCACGCATAGGTTGATTTGGGCAATGAAACGGGCCGAACCCTGTATTGACATGCACACACAAGAACCAGGTAGGAATCATCTCAGATGAGGTGTTTTTGGGACTCTCCCCAACTGAACCGCCAGACTCAGAACCCCAACCATGGAGAGAATTGCAGGTTCCAAGGTCCAATCGTGGAGTGCATGTGTCAGAGCTGGGCCTCCTCAGTGGCTCAGACTAAGCAGTGGACAGCACATTCAGGTGCACGTGGAGGATATGGCAGTACACTGGAGCCTGTGGAGGACACCTGGTACCATAACAGAAGATGGAGGCCAGAACAAATGGATCAACTATCCCAGCCAAGAGTTGGCAGTAAATACCTGGGCAATTGGAGACTCTAAGGTGGACTGTGTCAACCAATGGATTCTAATGTGAAAGTAGTAGCAAGATGGGCAGCAATTCAGAACGGCTGAATTATCAAAATCACTTGAGCAGGACCCTCGGAGCAGGCCCCACGTCAGGGACCCTGCGATGGGGGGGGGGGGGGGAGACAACGCTGGGCGTGGCTTCTCCCCTTATCTCTCCTCTCCCTCAGATACAGTAATGGAAAAAAAAGAATGTAAAAATAAGATAGAAAAAAATTTTCCTATGTGGAAAAAAAAAGGATCCTATTGAACATTACATATTCATTAATTAATCTAACTGGCTGATAAACAAATTTAAACATGAGAAAATGCAACAAGTTGTTTGAACCTGAATGCAGAGAATAAATACTTTATTAACTGATTACAGTGGAAAGTCACAAACAAAAAAGGAGTATATTAAGGCAGAGCCATATATATATATATATGTATAGACAAAGCCGAAGCCTGTTACCTTTATAACTTCATAACCTCTGCCGTTTTCTTTCTATATTTCATCAGTGTGCTTTTTTTCCTTCTTGCTTCAAGGAACGTCTTGGCCAACAGCTGTAAATCACCTCCTGATGAGCACTTCAGGATCGCTGATTCAGACTACAACTAGATTATCAACTGACACTGGACTGTTTTCTCATCATGCTTTGTGTGTGGCGACATATCCGTGTTGGTGTGCAAAATCTGACCACTGATCTTCTTCAGCAAGACACACGCATTTTTGAAGAATGATTTCAATAATCTTAACTAAATGCATCTGGACTTCCCAACCACATCTGCCTCACCCTTCCCTAAATTCTGCTCATGTTTTAGACAGCCTTTAGGATATGATCACATGGTTGCATTTCAGATCCATAAATTTTGGTATTTCAAAATCCAAAATTACTTCTTTATGCAAAATGCAATGCAAATAGCAATTCCACATAATGTTGGACAATTTTTCTTCTAAATAGTTCCTTTTATAAAAATGGGCAACCACCAAAAAAAAAAAAAAAGAGACATAAACTTAGTCCATTTGTAAAAGCACTCCAGCTTCCTAATTCCACTGTGAAGGAAATGGCAGAGGCCAGTTTACATTATCCCAGAAAAACTGAACAAATGGCTTTATTTGGTATCTTCAAGAAGCTTCTCCTTCTGTAGGAGATGTAGGGGTCGTGGGGGAAACGGGAACTGGCTTTCGTGTCATTCTGTCTAGTTCCGCATGAACATCTGACAGGACAGCCTTCTGGCCTGCAGTGAAGAGAAAGACAGAATTAAGGTTGGGACAGAGCCCAGGTCTCCTTCTCATCCAAAAACCTGCTGATGCTTTAATGACATTTAACATACTGAATTATATAAACATCACTACAAGTAAGTACCCTCATTTTAAATTGCAGGGGTAAAACTGGCATTTTATTTGATCTCACAGAAATACATACTTTTAAAGGCATGGGACAATAAGCAAAGTAAATAATTTGTGTAACTCTGTGTCATGGGAGGGGCCGGGATCTGGATACAGGCCCAGGGTGTTACCAGGGGACACGTGCTAGACGCTGGGTTCCCATAGTTTTATGTTAACGGATTTAGGGCAGAAACTTCATCTCCCTGGGGTGTCTCAAGGCGAGGTCTTGGAGGAGCACCCAGGAGGATCAGGCCGACTAAGTCCTGGTGGCTCTAAAGGGGAGGTCACAGAGAGGCAGGCGATGATGAACACGTACCACCCCGCTGCTTCCTGGCCTCCAGTCCTTCTTCCAGCTCACGCGCTCGGGGCCTGCCTGAGCCTGGACAGGGAAGCTTCAACACTGTGAGCTCAAGTAAGCGACTTTCCTTTCTAAAAGGTGTGCGTTAGGCACTTGCAGCAAGACACAGCCACCACCGAGGGTAGCTTCCGTCTCACCGAAACGAGGCTGTTCTAAGTGGGTTTACCTGACTTCTTGGCAGATGGTGGTAAACCACTGCTCCCACTTCCAGCCCCACTGCCAGGGCTGCCACTGCCAACGCCAGGCCCTCCTGGAGAACCCGTCTTTTTACTCAACAAACTATTGAAGAAATTTGCCAGGACGCCTTCACTGGTAGCTCCAGCTATAAAAATAAGAAACAAAAATATCTTAAGACTTTTTGGAGTTTTATCATAATTACGTCAGTAACCAAATACAGGAATGAAAAAAGACTTAGAATCTAAAAGCCGTAAATCCCAAATTCAATCTACTTTGGTCTACAAGGCTGACTACATATTTAACCTACTCATATATAAAGGAAAGTGATTATGTTAATTACAATATTTAAAAATAAGAAAATTAGTTTTTACAGGCCAAAGGCTTTTTAAATAAACAGACATTTGACACTATCTAAAACTCCAACTTGAAAGGGATGCTTCAAAAACAGAATTGTCGAGAAATATTTGCCTCAAGATTATTATTAAGGACTACCTAATTCTATATGAAAACCAGAAATTCTGAGATAAATGGGTAAAGGAGAGCAGTAAGTTATGTACAGAAGAGGAATACAAATAGGAAAAAATCCTAGAAGAAAAACTTAAAAAGCAGGACGAGAAACGAAGCAATGGGACTTGCGCTGGTACCACTAGACTACAGCACTGGCTCCGAAAAGCTCTAATTATTATTTAAAGAATACTAATTATCTGGTGGCAAAATGAAAATGTTCAACGTTGCTAACATGCAAAGTTGAATAATCCACTTCGAAGACATTATCAAGAGGCATGAAAGTACTGAGTCCATGTAGGGCAATTTCTTCTACAGAACAAGATTATCATATATATTTTTCCTTTAATTAAGGATTACGTATCACAGTGTAAATGTAACTTATCTTCAATGGCCAATAGAGGAGCATGTTTTATATGACACAGCTTTCATTACAGACCTGACGTACTCAGAATGCACTTTGAGGAGCCAGTGCTGTGGCCCCGCGACACCAGGATCCCAGCACCACTTCAAGTCCCCGCTGTTCCACTTCTGACCCAGCTCCCTGCTAAGAGCCCCAGGGCCTGGGCCCCCACCACGCACCCACGTCAAAGATCCTGATGGAGCTGCATGACCCTGGCTTTGACTGGCACAGCACTGGCTGTTGTCGCTACTTGGGGGATATTTAGTGGATGGAAGGTCTCTCTCTCTGTAACTCTTTCAAATTAATTTTAAAATTGAAATCAAAACAGAACAAAAACCCAACACTGAGTTAACAATCCGGTTAACTCTGAGATTTAATCCACAAAGACAAACCTTAGAAGGCAGTACACAAAAATGAAAACCACTAAAGCAAAAGGTGGATTTTTCTCCACCATAAAACGCACTGTGTTGTTTTCTCCAAGACAGAGCTGTACCTTTCATGTTTGGATCAATTTTTTTTGCACCAGCAGGGACAGGAGACACGCTGGCGACGTTGGACGACACGGATCGGTTTGGCGTGCGAGGTGAGCCTCCTGGGACCCTGGGTGAGGCATCCTACATACAAACAGGAAACCACAAATACGAAACTGTCAACTTCTTCAAAGTTGTTATACAAGTCAACTCCTTTCCAACTATCCTCCCTGTGTTCTATTCTCACACGGCAATCCACTGATGGCCGTTTCTCCAGTGGAAGGAATATGTTGAATAAAAACAATAATAATAAAGTTGTTAGCTTATGCTTAGAAGGCAGGGCTGGTGACAAAGCAGACTGGAATCCTACAATCATACAGGGTCAAACAAACAACATTGTCCTCTGAAGCCCCTGCTCACAGGCCTGCAAACTGGGAACAGTGCCTGCTTTGGGCTGCCCAAGGGCTGGAAAAGCAACACACACTCATGGCTCAGGACAGCAACTCACATCCAACACACATTGCAAAAGAGATTACAGCATTCTAAGAGCATATATATATTCTTTTTTACAAATTTCACAATTCCGAAAAGCTTATGAATTCAAGTTTAGAGCAAAGTATAACAATATAAAGCATGAGATTAAGAAAAAAAAGGGCTAAAACAATATGTACTGTAGTTTAATAATGTTGTCAAATCTGGAATACTGACCACAGGCCTTCCAGCTGCAGTTGGTGGCTGCTTTGCTATGAGTGACTGGGGAAAAAAAAAATCTTGTGTTAGACGTGCCAGCACATGGTGCTGTTTTGCGAGACAATACATACGAGTAGAAAGGCATCAGTCTGCTTCTGATGTCAGGTCATACCTGCAGCTTCATAAGAAACACCTGGTCATCTTCTGCCATGATCTCCTTTTCGTGAACAAACTGAAAATGAGCAAGGTTAGTATATTACGTTATTGTCAGCACGAGCGTACTTTGTGGATTAGACTAACAAGAGCTTGAGCATTTGAGCATTACTTACATTAACATTTACGAATGCGGTGCCCCAAAAGGCTGTTACACTGGAGCTGTCCAGTGATTGCCCATTCACGGTAACCTAAATGGTCGCTCTCCGCTGTGCCAATTGGTAGCACCAGCGGCTGGGGAGCACTTCAGAGTGCGCCAGAGGCACATCACCCACTCTTATCAGACATGCTCAACAATGAACAATACTGGACAATTCAAACAGGACACTAACATCCCAGAGGGTGGGGCACAACTTGGCCCTGTTTCCTTGAAATAAAAACATAACGGCTCTTCCATAAGCTGAATAATTAAGAGAGGCATTGCGAACATCTGCAGTTTACTGTTGTGCAACAGACCAAGCCTGCGACTTTCTTCCCAGGAGCCAGAGAGATCCTTTTAAAAGGTTACCTAGTCCTCGGCTCTGACTCTCCAGTTGCTTTCCATCTCACTCAAAATGAAGTCCTAAGTTCCAGCTGTGAGGCCGTACAGGCTCTTAACTCTGCTGGTCTTCTCTCACCACACCCAGAGTCCTCCTAGGCTTTTCCTGCCTCTCTTCCTCACTAGTCCCACTCAAGGGCCCCAACACTGCAGGCCCCTCTGCCTTCAATCTTCTTTGTCTTCAGAGATCTCCCCCGACTGTGAACAGGCCAGCCCTCTCTCTCATGCCCCCAAGACCCCGCTTCACTTCCACAGCGTTTACGCCACGCTCCACGTCTGCATGGACTGCCTGCACTGCCCTCCTGTGCCAGGAGCACCCGGTGCCTGAACAGCACCTCGGCTGATGCTTCACAAGCATTCATGGGGTAAATTAAAGCGCACGCACACACACAGCAACCCAAAGTATCATTTCTTAACAAAACAAGGGGAACCATTTTTGTTATTTTTTTTTTGACATGCACATCTCTTTCAATAGACATATACCATGCTAACTGACTTTTCATTTGACTTTCCTTTCATATTATTAGTAATCTGCTACTATACTGTGAATGAGTCCTTAAATATAAATTTTAATATGTTACCAGTGGGACCCACCATATAGAGATCATTTTTATACATCTTTTCAAAAATATCCACACCGTACAATGCTTAGTATTAAGATAAGTGAAAGAAGAGTACCTTCTGGAACAAGATTTAATAGTCACAGAATGACATGGGATGACCAAGACCAAAACTGAATACAGAAAACTGGAAGCTCTTGCACGGCTGTGGGTTAAGGTGGGTAATCAATAGCTGTGATGATGACTGGAGACCTGCTTTAAAAGCCTAATTATTCCAGCATAGCCTTCGTGGGTTTTGGGCTCTAGGATGGAAAGTTCACAGCTTCAACCTATTCAAGCTATTTGGGATCCACAGTCACCAAGTCAACTGTTAATTGAGAATGATACTGAGACTATGTATTCTGCACTAATACGCCCCAGGCTAGGTAAGATTCGGTAACTGAACAGCTGATCTGCATTTTGCTGCCACAAATCCTACGCAACTTGCACATCAGGAACAGCCACATCACACTCTGAGCCCCTTGGCCAGCCTTGCACAGGAACTGCCCTCTCAGGGTAAAAGCCTAAATATCAAGACCATTTACTGAAATTGTCACCTTTCGGACGGGTGGTTTTGTTATGATGTCTTCAAAATTATCTTCTGCTTTCAATGTTTGAAAATTTTCGTGTAATATTCCTATCTTCTTATCATTATCCCACCCTGCTGGACTGGAGAGAAATAAGTGTAATAAATTCTCAAGCATTTACATTTTTACTACTCCTTCATTCACTCCAGGATCACATAAAGGGAACATTTTTCTAGGCAATTTGATATGGAAAACTATTTTATAATGTCCAAATTATGTCTTACTAATTTCTACTAAAATGATGCAGTGTGTTGAGAGGTCACATAGCAGGCCAAGCTGCTGCCAGCAACACCAGCATCCCATATGGACACCAGTTCACGTCCCGGCTGCTCCACTTCTGATCCAGCTCTCTGCTACGGGCCTAGCAATAGCAGCAGAAGATGGTCCAAGTGTCTGGGCCCCTGTGGGAGAACTGCAAGAAGTTTCTGGCTTCAATCTGGCTTAGTGCTAGCTGCAGTAGCCATCTGGAAAGTGAGGCAGCAGGAAGAAAGATCTCCATCTAGGTCCATATCTCAAATAAATAAATCAATCTGTCTTTAAAAAATAAGTAAATAGAAAACATGATTTTTGTTAAAGATTTATTTATTTTTATTGGAAAGGCAGAAAGATGGAAAGAGAAAGATTCTCCATCCACTGGTTTACTCTTATAGTGGCTGCAATGGCTGGAGCTAAGCTCATCTGAAGCCAGGAGCCAGGAACTTCTTTCAGGTCTCCCAAGCGGATGCAGAGCCGTCCAAGTGATGGCTTTGAGCTGTCCTTGAATGCTTTCCCAGGCCACAGGCAGGGAGCTGGATGTGGAGTGGCGCAGTTGGGATTAGAACTGGCACTCATGTGGGATGATGGCACATGCAAGGCAAGGACTTTGGTCACTAGGCTACCACATCGGGTCCAGAAAACATAATTATTTGCCCACAATTACAGATTAGCTATTAGCAAAGCCTTTTCAAAGGAGTTAGGTGAGCAGGTGTTCAAGGCCCACATACTACATCATACTGCCTGGTTTCATTTCCCGATTCCAGCTCCTGAATCTAGTTCTTGCCAACTAGACCTCGGCAGGCAGAGGTGATGGCTCAGGTGAGCAGGTCCGTCACCTCCTGGGAGAGCTGGACTGTGCTCCTAGGCTGTGGACCAGCCAAGGCCGCTGAAGGCTCTACAGGAGAGTAAGATGGGCAAGCCTTCCCCTTTCCCCAACCTCTCTTTCCCTCTCAACTAAGTATACAACCTAAAAAATAAAATAAAGACAGGCCAGCAGTAAAACTCAAGAGGCAGTGGCCAACAGAACAAAGCAGCTTATAAACAAACAGTCCAAGGACTCATCTGCTCCTCACAGGATGGACTAACGGTCCCACCTTAAACTGAAAATGGTATTATGTCAAACAGCGACAGTGCAATTATGAAAGAGCATACTTACATGAATACGGCGTCCTTTTCCACAACAATAGCAGGAATCTTATAGGGAAATCCATATAGTTTCTGAACAATGTATTTATATACTAGGTCTATATTTTTGTTTTCTTTTACTGAAGTGTAAATAAGTGCCGCACCATCTGAATATTACAGTTAAGGAAATCTTGAACAAACTGTGAACAAGTACCATAAAATTTTGTGTTCTCAGCTCAAATGTTTTATCTATATGCTTCTTACTTTTGAGAGTAACTTCCAATCAGGTGGCAGTTCCCCATCCCTGGGTACAGGGACATTTGGGAGGCTGGGTATGGCTTCCCCCTTGATCTCTCCCCTGCCCCGGAGAGGAAAGGGAGAACTAGGAAACGATGATCTCCCACCTTTCCCTTAGCCTTGATCCTTCCCACCACGGTCAACCCTGTAATCACCATCAAAAAACCAACCAACAACCAACCACAAAGAATATCTTCCAAAGACATCTAATCAAAAATTTAAAAAGTGTTAAAACATTTACATATCAGGTAAAAAAAATAGTCTTTATATAATTTAAATTGGAGGGTAAGAATCTAAGCAAAGAAATAGGAAATTTAGCCATTCTGACACCACTTTATCTCTCTGAAGGATGTGAACAGACCATATTTTTGCTTTTATCTTTAAACTTCATGAGAGGGGATTTTACTTATCAATGACTTCTTTGCCTTTTCAACAAGAATGGCTAACACTATTGTCTCCCAGGAAAGAAGATTCTGAGTCAAAGTCCAGGAGAGCCGACATGTGCAGAGAGAAAGCACAGCTGAGGTTTCTTCGGGAAGCAAGCAGGAGCCAGAGCGGGTCAACCCACCAACATACAATGCTGGCATTCCAAATCAAAGTACGGGCTCAAATCCCAGCGGCTCTGCTTCCAATCTAGCTCCCTGCTTAATGCACCTAGGAAAGCTGCACCACATGGCACAGTGTTTGGGGCCTGCCATCTATATGGGGAGTAAACCAGCAGACAGAAGACAGCTATCCTTCTCTCTGTTGCTTTCAGATACATAAATAAATAAATGATGGTTTAATAAAAATTTTCTAAAGCAAAGTATATTTCATGACCCAAACTTGAAATTATACAGCCTAACTAAAGCAAATGTTAATTTTGGGCCTTTGATTCAAAAGACATGGCAGATCAAAGACCAAGCACTATGGGGGGGATTACTATGACACTGACAAATGATGTGTTCACACTATCAGAAATTCTATCATCAACCCAAAGGACCACACTAGGCACTGGCCCTAAGTCCCCAAAAGAGCTACTCCTTTGTAGGACGCGGTCTAAGGCTTAGGACCCTAAAAGTAATAATTACTAAATGTACCCTAATGTGATATAGGTACAACTTACCTTGTAATAATAGCTTAAGCAAAAGTTCAGTTGAGGAGACTTTGGATTCCTCATTTACCCTGTGATGAAAACTGACTTACGGTGATTTGGAAGATTTCTCTAAGAAAGTTGCCTTACAATTAAATGCAAAATGAATGAATAAATAAAATAAAGACGCTTGTAGTGGCAGGCGTTTGGCACAGCAGTTACACTGTCCACTGGGTACCCGGATCCCCCAGGAGAGCCCGTGTGTGTTGTTTATTCGCAATTCCAGCCCCTTCCATACACACAGGAGACACGGGCTGAGTTTCTGGCTCCTGTGCATTTAGGGAGAAGCCCTGGTTCTCAAACAAAACACATTCGAAGGTCAAAATAAATGCAGGTAATTCTGAACTGTCCCTCTTACTGATAAATAGAATATCTAATTTTCTTTTTTTTTTTTTTTAAGATTTATTTTTATTATTTTTTCATTGGAAAGGCGGATATACAGAGAGGAGAGACAGAGAGGAAGCTCTTCCGTCCGATGATTCACTCCCCAAGTGAGCGCAACGGGCCGATACTATGCCGATCCGAAGCCAGGAGCCTCTTCCGGGTCTCCCACGCGGGTGCAGGCTCCCAAAGCTTTGGGCTGTCCTCGACTGCTTTCCCAGGCCACAGGCAGGGAGCTGGAAGGGAAGCGGGGCTGCCGGGATTAGAACCGGCGCCCATATGGGATCCCAGGTGTGCAAGGCGAGGACCTTTAACCACTTGCGCCACCGCGCCGGGCCCAGAATATCTAATTTTCATGAGGCAATTTCTCTTTTAAAATTCACTGTTTCTAATTTTTTGATATTTCTGTATTTACATTTTGAAGCAAACAAAACTAAACATTTATGGAAGGTTCTCAAACTTTGAAACCTTTGCAGATAGGACACCGACATCACGCACCTGACTCAGTGAAGCTCTCAGTAAGCTGCCTTTTAAATGCAATGCTCACCATGAAAATAGAGGAAACCAGTTCTAGAACTCGTAAAGTTTCTGGATGTCATTCCTTCACTTTAGAAATCAGACAAGGTGCGCCGCTTTGATGAGGAACTGAAAGGATACACTGTAAACAAAACTTCCGGATATGTGATTGGATAAAATCAAAGTGTTCGTCTCTATAGTCATGTTCTTTCTCCAATACGCTAATGGCATCACACTGTTAAAATAATGATTAAAAGTTACAGAGTTAAAATAATGATTAAAAGTAAGCTTAATATAAAATAAACTAAACTTAATAATTTCAACACATTAATTCTGGGTGGAAAAGCAACACAGAACTACCACTCCGAGATGCGGTGACTGAGCAGCAGGACCCAGAATCACAACCAAGACTTTCAAAGGGAGTCTTAAGACCAATTTAGTATTTTACTTCTTTAGAAAGCAGTAACTTTGCTGCACTGAATCCAGCCAGAACACCAACAGGAGGTTTCATACAGAAATGAACACACAATTATACAAAGAGGTCAGATTTCCTAACAGATTCCCTTCTTAGCACACAGTTTTTAAGCTCTAGAAGCTATCCTTGTTTCACAGACCACACCTGTATATTCAGGGGTCTCTACTGCTCCCCAACTTTGTCTTGCTCCTCTACTTATCTGCTCATTCTCCACTGATCTTCTTTTCATTTCTGCTGCTTGATTCACTTCCATTACAATCTCACCAACAACCAAATAAAAAAATTGCAAGCTACTTTTGAAATGCCATCTATAAAATCAATGAAACATTTCTGAATTCCACTTGCTACAGAAACATATTAAGGAAAATACAAAGGGTACAAATTCAAGCACCACATGTCCAAATAATTTCCCCAAACTCTTCTGAGACAAAGATGTAAAATGCAAAAAGCAGATATCTAAGGAATATTAGATAATTAAATATGAAATAATACTAGTTTGGGGTCAACTATGGCATGTAATCATTTGCTACATATATGTGCATACATGACAGAATAGTCTGGCACACTCAGGAGCCTTGGTTACTCTACTGATTACTGGGAGTGATATCTCGAAGCATTAAGGGTACTATGGCTAGACCACGGACTTAACGACATTTCCCGTGAAGCATGGTAGTAAAGTGATTTTTTTTTTAAAGATTTATTTTTATTATTTTTATTGTAAAGGCGGATGTACAGAGAGGAGAGACAGAGAGGAAGATCTTCCGTCCAATGAGTCACTCCCCAAGTGAGCGCAACGGCCGATGCTATGCCGATCCAAAGCCAGGAGTCTCTTCCGGGTCTCCCACGCGGGTGCAGGGTCCCAAAGCCTTGGGCCGTCCTCAACTGCTTTCCCGGGCCACAGGCAGGGAGCTGGAAGGGAAGCGGGGCTGCCGGGATAGAACCGGTGCCCATATGGGATCCCGGGCGTGCAAGGCAAGGACCTTAACCACTGCACCACCGCGCCGGGCCCTAGTAAAATGATTTTTAACTGAAACCAGAGGCTATGGACCTAAGGCAAGAAACTGTCTATTTCCAGAGTCTTTAAAACTCAGAGTTGAGTTTCCTTCCCCAACTATCCACTTATCCTTGTGTCCCACTATACATGCTAAAAGTCGCACAATGAATACAACTGACAGTGCTTTAGATTCTATGTAATCTTTGGGCTTCAAAATTTATGAATCGGACTTACTTAATAGTGATTTAGAACTCTTTTAGCTCAACATTTTCCCTTTTGGGAAATAACACTGCTTTTAATGTGACTAGCTGTGGTATAAAACAACAGAAACACGTGTTAATAAATAGCTCTTTGCCAAACAAAACAAAGACAAAACAAACCATATTTAAGGACTCCAGTGTGAATTTTAAAAATACTGCTTTACAGGAAAACTGTAAAGTCACAATTAACCACTTCAAAATAATCATTTGAAAAACAGCAGGCTTTAACTTAATTATTTTAGATGCTGCCATTCCATTATTTTGTTACTAATAATTTCTGAAACGTTTTAACTAAGGCAGGTTTTACATTTTTATCCTAAAGATGAATAAACTTTGTACCATCCTTTTAATTACAGGCTGATCTTACATATTTCAAAAACATTTAGTCTCACACAGCTTTATATCATTAATATCTTAACCATTCTAGGACTTAAAAACAGAAAAGCATACTACTTGGGAGCAAGTAGGGAGAATACATACTTTATGAAATGACTTGAAAAGGAATTGGGTTTCATCATAAAATATCAACAGTGAAAGAATTTAGGAAACAGTTTTTGACAATAGTGATCCTATTATCTTTGTTGCAAATAAGGCATACTCGATATCTACAAATAAACAATAATGAATTTCGGTGTTTAACAGTCTACTTTAACTATATAATCTTCTACTATTTGAGAATAACAATGTTGAAAACTAAATTATTTTACAAAAGCAAATAATCTATTATTATACCCGTAATTTCTGCTAAACAATGACAAGTGAAATCAGAATAAATTCAATTAAACAGAACATTCAAAATTATATTTTCTTTCAAGGAAACTATGATTAAGATCACAACAGCGACATATATTATCTGCTATCTTGATATTTTCATCTGTTAACAAAAATCATCTAGGAGCACTAAGCAATGTGTTAGCTCCCCTCAAAGAAAACCTGGAAGACAGAACAGCTGGTCATCCTCTCTAGGAAGCAAGCTCACCTTTGTGCAAACTACTAGGACTGGAACGCCCAAGTTCTGTGTGAGTGTGTCCGCGCCCAGAGGTAACACCACACTGTCATCTCTGTCTTCCTGGGATGTGGTGCTTCTTCTTTGAGGAGAAACTGGGAAGTCTTCTCCTGGCTCTACATATTCTTGAAAGTCTCTAACCACTGAAAATCAAAGTAAACATACTTTAGAAACTGCTGCATTTCAGGAGGCAGCTCGTTCTGCCATCGTCTGAACACGTCACTTTATGAAGAGTTATGTAAGAAACAGAAAACGCGTGACCCATCTATTCACAGTCTACAAGTGCTGACAACACATCGACTACAAGGCAGGACACTGCAACGCACAGGTCTCCCTAGGTCTAACTCAAAAACGGCACGCAAACCTGCCCTGGTGAGCCACAGGCTAGCTTCTCTACAAACGGGCACTGCAAGGGAAAAACCAGGAAAAATCACGTGATTTAACATCAGTCCTAGCTGACCAGAACATTAATTACCTCTCTCTAAACTTTTCACCTAAACACAATCTTGAAGCCATTTGCGAGACTGGCAAGACACTTTTGAAAGGATTTGTGATTGTACTAAGAGCTGTGGTGGCACGTGCTGGTGAGGCACACACACAAGCACTTCCACAGGACACTGTTGACCACACTGAGCACAACACTCTGGAAACAAATTATCCACAGCACGGAATTAAAACTGTATCTTAAGGATACTACAAAAATGTCAGAGTTCAAAAAATATTTAAAACTGTAGGAAAATAGTAACACTGAGAGGAGAGATAAGAAAGAGGAAAACTGAAATATGATTCTAGTTTAGAAGTAAAAATGCCTGAAAAAAAAATGCCTGCAAAAATTTCAAATATGTTAAAGTTTATTATTACTTTCAAGAAACAATGAATGGATATTACTGATATAACTAGGAAAAAGCTGTTTTTGTTTAGAGCGATTCCGATCCTCTCTGCATCACCAGGAAATGTTGCAGCTACAGGAAACTTTATAAGGGTCTGCAAAGCCAAGCTGGGCTCTCCAGCCACACAGGAACATACTTCAACCGCTACTCTTCAATTTCACAAGCGGAACTTTTCCACAGGGGTTCTCAAATGTTATCAGAAATCGGAGCCATGCAAGCAGATTTTGACAGCATCACAGGTAACCTGACTGTCCTCAGAGCTTCCTGAGGGGGACTGACGCTGTGGAATGCATGGTAGACTGCTGCCTGGGACAGGAACGCTCCATTTGGGGGCTGGTTTATGTCCTCACTGGGAATCAACAGAGGCTGGCCCAAGCACCTGGACCTCTGCACTCATGGGCTTTGGCTGCTGCAGCCACCGGGGAGTGAACCAGCAAGTGAAGATCTCTCTGCTCGTGCCTATTTCTCTGTAATTCTTCCCTTCAAATAAACACAATAAACCAGAAGGGCTTCGGAGTCAGCAGTGTGGGGTGAGCAGTGAGGACCTTCTCCCGGGTGCCCAGCTGCACTGACAGCGGTGGTCCAGGGGTCACCCAGGGACAGCTGCTGCTCAAGCCTAAACTTCACCATGAGCGAGGGGAGGCAAAAGCTCACAGGCAAGAGGCAGCAAGGAAAGAAAAGCACATTTTTAAAGCATTCAGACATCGTTTCAATAATGTAGGACCGACATTCTAAGCTTTTACTCTTTTCAATATAAATTTTAGTAAGCTGTCAATTTCCCCCTAAAAGTTCTTGGTGACTTACAATATCATATGTATATATATAATACGTGTATTTTCTTAGACAAAGTACAACACTGATAAAGAGCAAAGAAAGAGCTGTTGGTAGAATGTTAAAATTCTACTGGTTTACATGTCAGAAACACTGTATCATTTTAAATACTTTCCATGAAAATTACCAAAACACACGGGTAATGTGCAATACATATTACATATTCTATAAATCCTAAAACCAGATTAACATATTTCTGCCTATGCTGTTAACACCTTTTCAGGCACATTTCGTTTTGACAACACTGGTAAGAAATGGAAACGAAGGATGGCATTGTGGCACAGTGAGGAAGCCACCGTTTGCAACACAGAGTGTGGGTCTGAGTCCCAGCTGTTCACTCCTCATCTAGTCTGCTGCTACATCAGCCTGGAAGAGCAGGAGCAGATAACCGGCCTAGAACCTGGGCCCCCGCCACCCACGTGGGAGAGTCCTGGTCAGCCTGTGGCCGCGCCCAGCCCTAAGGGACACTTAGGGGATGAACCAACAGGTGGAAGACTTCTTTCTTCCTCCTTTTCTATTTCTCTGCCTTTTAAATAAGCAAATCTAAAACAAAACAAAACAAAACAAAAAAACCCAGCTTGAAAAAGAAAAATACTCGGTTTAATCCTAAATATTATTTCCAACTGAACACACAGAGCCTTTTGTCAGGAAGAAATGGCACCCCTTCCAGGTAATTCACCATCATGTGTACACCTCCAACTTAAAACTACACTAAAACTTAGAATGTCATTCAAACAGCATTTCAAAAATGGTAGTTACAGTATAAGTCCTTCACTAAATTTATTTAAACCAAAATAAAAATCCCAATAATTGCTATAGGTTGGCTAAAATATTCTGTATATGAATTCTTTGTTAATAGTTCTAGACTACTTACATTTTTGTTCCATTTCTTTCATTTCTTCAGGAGGAATTTTCAATTTGTCAACATGTTCTCTAACAACACTTGCCCATTTCTGTAAAGAATCCAAAGCAGTCCAGGGCTTTGACATATCAACAACCAGCATAACTAGAGTGTCTTTCAGAGAAATGGCATCCAGTGAAAATTTAAGGAGGCCTTTGTGATAAAGGTCTCCATCTAAGATCCACACATTACACCTTGTTTGATCTACAACAAACAAAAGACAGTTACCGAGGCAACAAAATTGTCATTTTCTCACCCAATTAACAATACTAGCTGGTATTTTAGGGTGTCTCCACCAGAGGTGTCCACTGACTGACAAAAGTTCAGCTAGTCACATCTCCTAGTTCAGTAAAGGGCTAAAATGATTTACTCTCAACCAGAGCACCAGCACCCTCTACTTCATACAAAAGCAGAGACTGTATAACACTTGTTTTTTACCTTCAGCAAATGGAGCCATTCATGTTAAAGATATATGCAAGGGGCACAGCATAGCAGCTGAAGTCCTCGCCTTGCATGCACCGGGATCCCTTCTGAGTGCCAGGGGGCTGCTCCACTTCCCATGGAGCTCCCTGCTTGTGGCCTGGGAGAGCAGCTAAGGATGGCCCAAAGCCTTGGGACCCTGGAGGAGGCTCTGGGCTCCAGGCTCTGGGTCGGCTCAGCTCCAGCTGCTGCAGCCACTTGGGGAGTAAACCAGCAGATAGAAGATCTTTTTCTCTGTCCCTCTTCCTCTCTATATATCTGACTTTCCAATTTAAAAAAAAATCTTAAAAATAAAATAAAGATATATGCAAAACTGAGAAGGTAAATGATGTTCAGAAGAAAAGTGGATGATCAGATCAAGGCTGGGGAAGGCGTGGCTGTCACTTTTGTCAGAACAGAAGAAGGCCCTAAAAAGGGAGTAAAAAATTAAGACTAAAAAAAAAAAAAGAATTAAGATTTTTTTTTCCAAGACGGCAAGAATGCCAATATCTGCTCCCCAGAATATACTAAAATACTTAAAAATATCACTAGCTGAATCCCAATCAGTAAAAGTAAGCCTAAACAAAAATTATTGACCAGCATGACATTTGTAGCATTCCTAGCGAAACTGACACAATCAGACTAAGTTAAGCTGAGTAGCAGCCAAGAGTGGCATGCCTGACTACAATCTTCAGGAAACTTAAGTTACAAATAAATGACACTCACCATCCCTGTCTTCATCGTGCACGTTTAAGTACAAGTATTCCAGTCCTCTTCCTTTCTTGTATTCCTCTATTCCCTGAATTTTTCTTATTAAACTTGTTTTCCCAGCTCCATCTTCACCTAGACATGTGAAAAAAAAGATAAATATTTCAAATTATAATTTGAGTTTTTTAAGGATACTCTGGCATGATGAAAAAACTCAACTGGAACCAAAGATAACTGGGGAAAGAGAAGTAGTTGGCTACAGACTCGGAGATACCATCCCCCCACGAACCCCAGGTCTCCCACGACCCCCACGATCACTGCTCCTCTCTCAGACCTGACTCGATCCTATTATAAAATCTTTCTCTGTGGGTTCCTCTGCCCCCTAGAGATTGGGCAGGTGAAACAAAAGCACATCTTTGAGGAATCACCACTATCACACTAAGTTTAATCTTGGAGGAGCTCAAGAGGCTGCCTTCTGCTTTCGGTCTGAAGACTACCATGTACTCCGCGTCTGGTGTTTGTCATCCCACCCGTGCCAGGTGGAAGCCAGGGGATGCGATGAACAAGGGAGGTGGGCACATGGGCACGGCCCAGTCAGGAGGAGGTATTCCAGGGCAGCTGGCCTCATATTCAGTTACACTGGGCAGACGGCTTCTTTTTATGAAGCATCTGCCAGCACTTGATGACACGGAGTGTAACTTGTGGCAGTCAGGAACTCGACATTAATACAGCTGAACGAGATGGCATCAGGGTGCTGACGAGGCGTCTACACTGCAGTGCTGGTCACAAGAGCTAAGACAGGGAATCAACTGGAGTGTCTGCGCGCAAAGACGAACGGTTAGAGAAAACCTTACACATGTACATAGTAAGACACCACTCAGCCACAAAAAAACAAAGAACACTTGCAATCATTCGGATGAACCTGGAAGACAGAGCCAGGCACAGAAAGACAAACACTGCGTGGTATGACGCTGGAATCTAGACTCCAGAGCACAGCTTACGGAAGGAGGCAAGCGCAGTGGCTAGCAGAAGCTGGTCTGGCAGCAGAGAAGGAGAGACACTGGCAAAATGTGACACAGCTTCACTCGGAAGGAGTAAGTTCAAGATCCGTATTATACAACATGGTGACTACTTAATAACAACACACCCTATTGCTGGAAAAAACGTGAAGTGTCCTAACCAAGGTATTAAATACATTAATTAGCTTGACTCAGCCATTCCACAATGTTATCATGCATGATAAATTTACACATTTCTTATAAAACAAAATTTATTTTCATTGGAAAGTCAGATTTACAGAGAGAAGAAGAGACTGGGTAAGATCTTCCGTCCACTGAATCACTCTCCAAGTGGCTGCCATTGCTAGAGCTGAGTTCATCCGGAGCCAGGAGCCAAGAGTTTCTTCTGTGTCTCCCACGCAGGTGCAGGGTCCCCAGGCTTTGGGCCATCCGCCACTGCTTTCCCGGGCCACAAGAGGGAGCCATGAGATCTCAGCACATGCAAGGATTTAGCCACTAGGCTACTGTGCTGGGCCCTATACAATTTTTTAAAAAAGGAAATGTGACGTCAAATAAGAATACATTTTTGTAGATCATTCTTAAGTATATTATTAAAAAAGAACTACAATGGGTTGAAAGCAGCAGTATCTGTGATAAGACACAATGATTCCCAAGACAGAACACTATGTTTATTTTTTTTTTAAAGATGTATTTATTTTTATTGCAAAGTCAGATATACAGAGAGGAGGAGAGACAGAGAGGAAGATCTTCCCTCCGATGATTCACTCCCCAGTAAGCACAATGGCCAGTGCTGCGCCAATCCAGAGCCAGGAGCCAAGAACCTCCTTCAGGTCTCCCACCCGGGTACAGGATCCCAAGGCTTTGGGCCGTCCTCGACTACTTTCCCATGCCACAAGCAGGAAACTGGATGGGAAGTGGAGCAGCCGGGATTAGAACCGGCACCCAGATGGCATCCTGGTGTGTTCAGGGCGAGGACCTTAACCACTATGCTATTGCGCTGGGCCCCACAACGACATTTTAACTTCAGCAAAAATATCCAAGGGAAATGAAATGTGTAGGTGTGAAATTTAAGGCATCTACACTTGATTTTAGCTAAAAGGCCGAGAAGCGATAAATGTAAGGTATCTAAGTCCGTCTCAGAGTTAAAAAGTAAAGAATCAAATTTCATATACTCTTTCTTCTCAAGATAGCCTATTTCTTGATAGAAGTCCTTTATGCTACAATAATATCAACTGAATTCGGACTGTCCCACAGGGGCAGTGCTACATATTCTAAGTAAAAACCGAGTGCCCAGCCTTGTTATACAAATCTAAATCAACAATACAACGTCTTAACTGTATTTTGTAAAGCATATAGAAAACCATAAAAACAGGTCATATTCAGTTAAAGTACACTTAACTTGACCCAGGATTTACCTTATTTCTTTTAATAAATACTGATTCATTATCTGTGATGATGTTATAGGTGATTTTATAAATTAATGATTTCCATTCTCAAACATTAAAGTCAACAGACTCAGATTCTGAACCTGAGTTCATGACCCAACAGGATCACACGTACCTACAACACGCCCTGTGTTAAGTTACTGCGACAAGCAGTGGGACATGGCCGCTTCCTGTGTCCAAGCGCTGCATACAGAAAGGACAAAGACTTTCCCGCAACACAGGGCCAGAGCTACTTCCTCTCAGTGAGCTGTCATCACTCGTTTCACTGGAATAATTGTGCCCAAACATGTACTAAATTAGCTGGGGGAACTGTTAAAACTACTTCCTACGTCTCTGATTCGTGGAGTCTAGAATGGGGCCCCAGAATCTGCACATCTAGCAAGTTCCTGGTGATGTTGATATTGCTAGTCTAGACGTGCCAGATATTCACCACACGAAGTCAAACACCAGGTACAAAGATACAGATATGAAAGTTGCTGTCTTCCAGGAGAAGGAAAACAAACAGGAGACAATGTCAAGATACTGTCATTAGGGCTACGTGACACAAATCCGAAAACCAGCCCAAAGCCAACAGCCTGTTCTGCTGGGCAGTCAGCAAGGACTTTGCAAAGCAGGTCAGTGAAACATGGAGTCATCACTTCAGGAAGTAAGGAACGCATGGGCAGAGTCCTGGAAGCAAAAAGTGTCCTAGAAAGGACAAATAGTTGAACACAGGAAACCCAAGCTGGGAGGGCAGAGCTGGCCAGCTCCTGATGGGCATCTTCTGCCAGCTGAGGCCGACTCTCCCACGGGGGCAGCGGGAGGGCAGGGAGGCAGGAACATTGTCATGGCCAAGTGCAGCCATTGATAAGCATGAGTTCAAGGTAACTAGACGTGCCCTAGGTTTGGGGTGGCAGGTAGCTGTGCTCATAGGCCGACTGGATTGAGAGCTGGCAGAGCAACAAGACAGAGGTGCAAGTCAGAGGAGACTGCTGTGTCAGAGCCCAAGTACCACCTGACTCTCCTGCCACCCACCTCTGAGAGAGCTGCTCCCATGACTTCGTGGGCTGTTCCTGCCTCCCCACCCAACGTCTGTGCCACCCAAGGGTCTTTTCTCAGCTATTATTCTTCTCCCTCTACATGGAATCCCCACAAACCTTCCACATCCATGGTTCTCACTTCCACCTACTGCCTGGTGACGCTCAGATTCCGTCTAGCGTCAGCCTCTCCTGCACCACCTACTGGTCATCGCTCCTTAGATGTCCCATAAACTCCCTACATTTCAACATGCACAAAGGGAGTATCACACTGCCGCCTCCCTCCACTCACTCACACATGACCACCCTGAAAACAAGCCCCATACAACCTGCAGCTCCCAGCTCCGCGGAGAGTCTGGTCTTGCTCAGGAGACCACCCTGGATTGGGCCAGGCCAGCCCAAATACAGACTTGTGTTTCCAGGTCAAGTCACCAGTGTGCTCCACTGTCGAGCACACACACCAGACAAGAATCTGCGGGGCTTTCTGCCTAGTGACATTCCCAGCTCTTAGCTCCTCTTTCGTTCAGTCACCTCTCTGGACTGGCCTTTAAGTTCCTAGGAGAACACCACCTCGTTTATCCTTCTAATCGCTAGATAGCATTCTCAGATTTCGCAGTATAAGCTCTTAACGCACTTTCTGTACTAAATTCAAAAAAAACTTTCGTCATTCAACTGAATGAATGGACCTCGGCTGCCCGGCCACAGCCAAGCCACACTGTTTGAAAATAATAAGACAATCCAGTATTAACTCACTCTCTCATGCAGAGAAGAAAAATGTTAAAATTGCAAATACCTGTCCTTCAACAGTGACACACATTCAAAATCACCACCAGTGGCAACCCATTCATGAGAGAATGGCCATTCAATTACAAGTTGCTTTTGGAAAATAAAAAGCTTAATAATTAGAAAAGTAAAATCAAAACATTTCTACATGCTTTATTCTAAAATGGCAGCTACAGTTCTGGGGCCTGTGCAGCTCCACACCATGGTGCAGGAATTCATCCACTCCTTCGGGTCCCTGGCCTTCAGCGGGCAGTGAGGCCGACACACCAGCTTTGGGCCTGCGAGCCAAATAATTAATGATCTGTAAACATACACTCATACAGTATAGAGTTCCTGTTCACATAAAGATGAAAGCCCTTCTGTAAAGCACCCTTAAGTGATGATGCCAATATTATGCTCTACATATTTTATTTAAATTTACGGGCCCAGCGTGGTGGCGCAAGTGGTTAAAGGTCCTCGCCTTGCACGCCCAGGATCCCATATGGGCGCCGGTTCTAATTCCGGCAGCCCCGCTTCCCTTCCAGCTCCCTGCCTGTGGCCTGGGAAAGCAGTCGAGGACGGCCCAAAGCTTTGGGAACCTGCACCCGCGTGGGAGACCTGGAAGAGGCTCCTGGCTTCGGATCGGCATAGTATCGGCCTGTTGTGCTCACTTGGGGAGTGAATCATCGGACGGAAGATCTTCCTCTCTGTCTCTCCTCTCTGTATATCCGCCTTTCCAATGAAAAAATAATAAAAAATAAATCTTTAAAAAAAAATTGACATTATTTATCTTCTTAAAGAGAACACATGTATATATATATATATATGTATGTATATATATATAATATAAATTTTGATTGAAAAGGCGGGTTTAGAGAGAAAGATCTTCTGTC